GCCTCCCAGTCCAGGTATAGGTGCAACTGATGGACCAACTGAGGTGTGCAAAGGCCCTCCTCCTGTTACCTGCTCTTTGAGATCCAGGAGATCTCCCAGATTACACATTGTGTCTGTTTGGGACAGTACAACCCTACGAGGAATCAGAAATGAAAGAACATTGTCCAATTTATAATGACTTCATTCATTCAGAATCTCAGAATGATTTGAATTGCTTGTTTGTGGGTTTCTTGACACTTGAGCTGAGTTGTCATTTATAAAATAAGCTATCAGTGGAGTCCCTTCCTTTGTCTTCGTTTATATCTAGCATCCCTTCCATTACGTTCTCCCAACAATATCTCAGATTTATTTGTTTGTTAGAGCAGGCCAATGTGATTTCAATGATATGTTAACAAAAGAAAAGTCTGATCTTGTCAGTTCTTCTACTTCTGTTATGTTCCTTACCCATAGTTCCTTTTGCTTCTATCAAAACCAAGTTGGTGATGAATGTAAGCATTTGTTTGCACAACAAACAGTGCAAAACTAGACAGAACTTGTCCAAGTGATCCCAAGCCCTTTGCCTTCTATTTAGTAAATGGGAGAGAACAGAGGAACACATATATGAAGCAAGAACAAGTACCACCACTATTCATATGACCATTACTTGCTTTATATGTGTACTGTTAAGGTAAAGTTTAAAGACAGAGATTCTTCTTCTGGATTGGCTGTGGCTAAATCTGGCACATTCAACAGAAATAACTTTTACAAACTGGTTATTTAACCATTGCATGATTTAATTGCTAGTCAAGTGAATTTAAACTATTGATTGTTTAAGGTTTTGCACACAATGCCAGAGATGCAGCTTATCTCCATTTTTTTAGAAGTAGAACTGTGCTCCTCCCTTTGGACTAACACTGGCAATACTGTAAGCATATTTAATAACAATAAAAAGATCAAAAAAATTTTAAAGTAGAAGGTGATTCATAGCCCAGCATGTTTTAGAAATCCACTGTTTATTAAACATTTATGGGCACTGAATATAAACAATACTTTTTTTATGAGGGACATTGGGTTGCCATTCTAAGTAAAGGAGGGATGAGATTTAGGAACCAATGAAAGATAACATGTTTTAATAATATTCTTGATTTTTCTATAATATTGCTTAACAGAACGTATGAGCCTTGCATATGATGGCGTATTTCAGTATAGATATTCCTCAACTTTTGATTGAAATTTGTTAAAGAGTGGCAATGTATTCAGGCTGCTTTGACTGTTACTGAAAATTCTCTTTCACAAAGATATGTTGAAGGAAAAAATAGTACCGGTAGGATCAACAATACCTTTTCACTTGAATGGTTGCAGGGTACACTGGGTATGTCTAGTGCAGTGTTTTTCAACCACTGTGCCGCGGCACACTAGTGTGCCGTGACATAGTGTAAGGTGTGCCGTGGGAAAAACCCCCGCCTATAGTCAATATAGGCACAGAGTTAAAAATTTTTAACATTTTTTAATGGTGGTGTGCCTTGTGATTTTTTTCATGAAAAAAGTGTGCCTTTGCACAAAAAAGGTTGAAAAACACTGGTCTAGTGTAACAAACAGTCTAGGAATGACATGGTAGTAGTCTTCCAATATTTGAGGGGCTGTCACAGAGAGGAGGTGGTCAACCTATTCTCCAAAGCACCTAAGGCCAGGACAATAAGTAATGGATGGAAGTTTATCAAAGAGAAATCCAACCTCTCTTTGGATTAAGGAGCAATTTCCTGTCAATGAGAACAATTAATCAGTGGAACTCCAGAAGTTGTGAGTGCTGCATCACTGGAGTTTTTAATGAAAAAGTTGGAGAGCCTTTCGATTGAAATTTTATAGAGTCTGCTGTTTGAGCAAGGGGGTTGGACTAGAAGACCTTCAAGGTCCCTTCCAACTCTGTAATTCTGTAATCCCGGTGCACCTTCTTCAAAAATTCTTCTAGTGTTACTATTTCAGTTGCTTCAATATAATATGTGTAGGAAATTTGGTTGATTAGCAAAAAGAAGGGGCTCAAACCCCCTTCTCTTTAACCTTAGGAACAAATTTCTGGTACAAGTTTTTCTACTCATTCTGGGAGATATCAGGAGTTGAATTTAGACCTTCTGCCCCTAAAGCAGCATGCTTTTAATGTTGAGCTACAGCACCTCTGCTATTTCTGTCTCATTTTGTAGTCAGATTACTGATTACAGCTCAATGCAGTGAACCAATTCCACAGAAGTCTAGGATTGCCAAGTACAATTAAAGTGTTATCAAGAAATATGAGATTGAAAGTGGATTTCTGAGTAACTGTTTTTGCAGCCTTAACTCAGAAATGGCAATATTATCTTAAGAAGGTTTTTTAAAAGTCAACAAATATTAACCAACTGAACCCTTTAATCACTGCTGCATATGGTTTGTTGTGTATGGACATTTAGAAAACAAAATGCCTTCCTAGCATGTTTTCATTCAATTGGGCATGGTATTACATAAGCAACATTTTAACATAGGATGAATACCATTGTGAAAGATTTTATCAAATGGCATTTTTTTAAAAAAAATGAGCTATTATTGAATCAAATAACTACATCTTTCATCCTTTTAATTGTAAAAAAGCCAAGAAAGATTTGATTATGTCATGTACTTAGACCAAACCTACCATGCGCTCCAATTCAGAAGTAATCTGATACTTAATCCATACAGAGAGTAGAGCTGACACTTTATTCTTATTAAATTACGACTTAAACCAGAGAAGCTGCAATTGGGTTCATGTATGTTATATCCAGAACATTAAAAATGGATAATTCATGTGAACATTGCTTTCTATAAAAATTAACAAGGGTCAAGGTTGGTTTTTTTGAAAAAAGTAAAAAAAAAACTTTTAGTTTTATGTTGATATGGGACAGTGGTGGGTTTTAAACTTTTTTAGAACCTCTTCTGTAGGTGTGGCCTGCTTTGTGGGAGTGGCTTGCTGGCCATGTGACTCGGTGTGAATGGCTTGCTGGCCATGTAACTGGGTGGGCATGTGAGTTGTGAATTTCCCATTTACAGTTTTATTAAAGATCTGCAAAATGACTTGTGCTTATTTATTTCTTGTATACTCTACTTTTCTACTCTGTTGAATGCTCAGGACAGCTTATACTTCATTGACATGAACACACACCCTACTCACTTGATACCCTACTCACTCAGCACTAAGCAAAATCAGTAATTCATGACAAATACAATGAATTGATAGTTTTTCTTACTGCTGAATGAAGAGGCCAAAATAGAGGCATTGCAAATAGAAGAATAACCCCTCACACACTGCAAAACCCCTCACACACTGCAAAAGGAGTATCTCTGACAGCAGAGGCACCTTTGAAGGGGCTCTCCTACAGATCTGAACAGCTGCATTGGTCTACATGGATAAGGTGATCTCTGAGATGCCAGACTCTAATCTTTTTAGAGCTTTTTTGAGTTTTAACAGATAATATCAATTGTGCCCAGTAAGCAATTGGCAACTTGCGTAGATCTTCCAGTTTTGGCTTCATACAATCCTTGAACCTTGAAGCAGTTATCAGCCTAGCTGCAGATTATACCAAATGCAACTTCTGGTCATTTGTCAATGATATCCACACTGACTAAGTTGCAGCTATCAAGATAGGATGTAAGTAAGGTGTGTTTTAAATGATATCCAATAACGTGCTTAATCACATATGTCAGGTACTTAGAGAGGAAATACTAGTTGTGGGGAAAAAATAAATCTTCCTGCCGTGGGAGGAGGGACATGATAAACAAATATTAATGAATAAAAGTATATTCTTTTGCTTTTTTTATGACATGCACTGTTATCTTTTTAATGATGTTGTATGACATAATTGCAGATTATGTCCAACACTTCATCCAACACACTTAGCCAGTCTTAACTTCGTACTTTTGAATATGGCAGCATATAAACAATTGTTGATTGTAATTGTAATTGTTGAGAGGCGTCATCTTAGGAAATACAGAATGTGTGCCCAACATTTTTTTATATTCCTGATTGGCATCCCATGAGCCCTTGCTTCGGGGAAAAAATGATAAGGTTGCATGACTAGTCCTATCCCCACTGGCCAGGTCATGGATCAGCTGCTAGAGCAGCCAGTAAATATAAGTATCTGGGAGACATTGAAAATATACCTTGAACTCTGCCAATTTCTCAACTCTGTTCCGTATTTTTCGGAGTGTAAGACGCACAAAGATTTTGAAGAGGCAAATTTAAAAAAAGTTTTTGCACTCTGCAGACCTCCCAAAAACGGCCCGTTTTTCACGAAAACAGACCATTTTTTTTGCCAAAAAAGGGAATGCATAGCCTTTAGGAGGCTTCCAGTGCTCCTGGAGGCTGGTGGGAGGGGGGGAACACGAGCAAAAAACCCACATTTTTGCCTTCCCCAACACTCAGGAGCACTCTGGAAGCCTCCTAAAGGCTATGCATGTCCATTTTTGCGGTTTATGGGAGGCCAAAAATGCTGAATTCAGTGTATAAGATGCACCCAGATTTTCACCTTCTTTTTTGAGGGAAAAAGGTGCGTCTTATACTCCGAAAAATATAGTACATGCTACTTTTTTTTCTTTTTTTGCCTCAAATGGGCTCTTTATTCTATTACAAGAACAAATTCTTTGTCATGTAGCTGCAGTAGCAACAAACCATGCAGTTAATACACACAGTGAAATAAATTCATAATATCATCTATCATACAAACTATACAGCCACCCAAGCTTTATTTCTTTTAACATCTCCAAGGCACAATGGTATCCCCTGTGAAAAACAAGATGCTGCTTAAGTGCTTTTAGTTTCATTCAGCAGTATCAGACTACGGACTTTTCTCCATACCACAGACACGCCCTGGTGCCTTTTGTTTTGCAATATTTCCATAAAGTTGCCTTCATCCTGTCCTTAACCCAGGCATGAGACAGGCTTAAATCATACTTATTCTAATACCATCCATGGGCAGACACTCTGGGTGTCAAGTCTGCTCAGATTTGTTATTCCTTACCTTAGGTGACTGCAGCTAGGAACAGAAGTCTGTTGGTTGCTGTTGTTGTTTTGCAGTTGGTGCCCCATGGGCCACTTTCCTATTTTAAGACTGAGTAAGAATTTGAGGCTGTGAGAATGTCCTAAGGGGGGGAGTCAGTCATAAGGTCCTTGCTGGAAATCTGGTTTATTTCCAGTATTGTGCGGGCAATTGCCTTTGATCACTCCAGGTATTCCTTTGTAAGTCATGCCATGAAACATTGCCTATCGGTTCTGAGGGAGGAGCCCCCTCAGGGAAGGATTGGCTTTTAAGCTGGAAATATTTACCCATTTCTAGTAATGACTATTTGAAATCACTTACTGTAGTACGTAGTTTCTGTACTGGTATGTCAATCCTTCTTCAAGCTTGGATGTAACTTGTTTTAGATGAGTCCTCACCTGTAATATTTTAAATGTATGCATTGTGCCTTTTCTTAAGGTACACATAACCAAACCAGAATAGTTTTTTAGTATATTATGTAAACAGATAAACTAAATCAGCCTTGTGGTTTGAGGCCATTAGTTTTAAACCAAAACATTAGATTCTCTGTGATCTTTCTTTAATCCTATTTCCAGAGATTATAATTAGAGGTAGAAACTGAAACTATAGTCATGCAAATCATGTGCAATTAAAATGGTCTTTTCCCAAATAAACTTGCAGTTCTATTAGTTCAAGTAATGGGAGCGCATCCCATTATGCAGTGCTTGGGTCTTTCCAGCCGACCTGAACCATTACCTAAACCATCATGCCCGTTTATTAGCCCTATGTGACTTGTAACTGAGAAAACCTTGTTCAAATTGAGCTCTGCCTCTTTAAGAAGTTGTGTTGCAGTGCACACAGGAAAACAAAAAGGAGAAATCTGTAGTTTGAAATATGAAGAAAGAGAAAGCGGGAGAGAAGTGATGGGGGCGGGGGGGGGTGGCGTTTGATAAAATCACCTAGGACACATTGTTACTAGTAAGTTTTATTGCATTAATGATTGTATGCCTTGGATCAGGGTTGTCATGGATTAGAAAGAGCCAAATCTGTTGAATTCATGATGTGTGTGTGTATATATATATATGTGTGTGTGTGTGTGTGTGTGTGTGTGTGTGTGTGTGTTATCATACTTGTAGGTGGCCTGTGTCTTTCTCAATCTTGAGCCCCCTTCTAGAGGCCCAGGAGTTTGAGGACCTCTAGTCCTCAAATCTTAGCTGTTCCTAGCACTGCACTCTTCTGGACAGAGAACACTGATGGTGTTCTCCAAAACATTAAACCAAAGATTAGGTCTCTGTGATCTTTCTTTAACCCTATTTCCAGAGATTATTTTAGCTAGCAATAATCTAGCACTTGGATAGAGAACACTGATGGTTTTTCGGGTATCTATTGGAGCCACTCACCCAGCCTAGGAGTCTCAGCCTCGACTGCTTCTATCAATATTGGGACCACTTTGGCTTTCATTTTCCACTTCCTCCTTCAGGCCTCATGCTTCTTTTTCTTGATGTTGTCGTCACTTGGCACCACTACACCTATTGCCATTACTGTCTTCTGATTGTCGTCTACTACCATAATATCTGGTTGATTGGCCAATACTTGCCTATCTGTCCAGATCTGGAAATCCCACAGGATCTTATCCTTATTACTTTCCACAACCTTCTGTGGGATCTCCCACCTAGACTTAAGAGGGTCTAGCCCATGTTCTGTATAGATGTTCATATACACATTGCCAGTGACTTGGTTGTGCCATCAATGTATGCTTTTCCTGCCTGCATCTTATACTCTGCCATTATGTGCTGAACTATCTCTGAAGCCTCTCTGCATAGTCTGCACTCTGGGTTCTGCCTGATGTGGTAGATGCCTGCTTCTATGGATCTGGTACTTAGTGTCTAGGCCAGACCTGTCAAACTTTTGCCCACCCCAGCTCTGCATAGACAAAAAAACCTCATGATACATCATGATATGTCATGGAATCAGTCTATCAACTGATTCCAGAAACTATCCTGCACTAAATCTGCAAGGACAGTATCACTCCCTGGGCTCACTGCAACTGGGGTCGGTGCAGTTTATAACAGCACACTTTTCTGCCGATTCAAAGATCTGAACTATGTAGATTAATGCTGCCAAGAGGTGTCAAGAGAAAGTGCAAGTGCAAAGGTCAAAGATGTAAACAGATGCAATATCATAATATTTTTTCCAAGCTATAAATAAATCAACTGAATTTATCAAAATTGAGCTGTTACTGAATACTCCTGGAATCATTCAATACATTGTTCTTGATCTGCTCCATTGAGTTGGAGTTTAATTACTATAATTTTCAGCCAGTTCATTGATTGCTACAAAGTCTGAGGTCCAACATATCTGCAGCCCCAACTCTCCCCCTCCTCCTCAAAGCCATTATGTAGGTTAAGGGAATAGCAATATAGGAATCGGTTTGGTATTGCATTGAAGTTCTTAGTAGGTGATTCAGATAAGTCCTTGCAAACTAATTAGGTTAATTTGTACCTACCAATTGCAAAAGATCACCAATTACATCAAATTTTACTAGAACAGAGAAGTAGAGCTCTTATTTCTCAGCCTTTACTCATTTTCTTTAAACAGTGTAAGGTTTATTGTTAGTTGGGCAATCCCTTCCTAAGGAACAAGTGACATTTCACAAAATAATAAGCAAGTTGCAGAATTCTTTGTTGCTCTTTCCCACAGTAACAATAAAAATGGATTTGATTTGGCAACCTTGAATCTTAAAATGAAACTCTAGTTTAGTTTAGATTAATCTCTGTTTGCATTGCAATTTCAAGTTATGCATAAGACTTGAGTCAGAGCAGTAAAGGATGATGATCCTTATAGGTAACAGTAGTATTTGAAAAACTCAAAAATCTAACTTCTGCTGCAGTCTAACTTCTGCTTTAATTCTTCTCTTTATTATTTTCTCATTTCCCAGACAGGTGTGCAGAATGTTGAAGTTGAACGTCTAAGTTGAATTTCCTAATTTTGGAGGTACTACTAGAATATTTGCTATTTGGCTATAATAATCTCTCTGGAAATGTACATATTTTGGTTCTTTGGTTGTTTTGGTGCCCAACTATTTATTTCAGAGTATTTTTCCCAATGGATCATCACAGCTTCCTTTGCTTTTTTTATAACATATTTCTCCATATGGAGGATATTCTCCTGACAGAAATCTCCTTTTCTTAGCTATGTGGGTACTCAACCTAATTCCAATTGCAGCCTTTTGAAGGGTGTTTGCTCCAGGCAGGGGATATGTTCACTCTTTCATTGCAGAGAGAGCAAATTAGGTTCCATTGCCTAGGCAAAGATGTAGATATTCCATCAAAGCCCAGGACAATGTTTTCCTACCCAGGCTCTTTGACACTTCATTAAACTCCTGGCAGGATTCCTCCAGCTCCTGGCAGCTTCCTCAGTCTCCTTTTTGGTGCCTCATTAACAACCAACTACTCCCAGAAGTGCTCAGTAAATAACCTCTCAGAAAGAATGGCATTTATCATGACTTAGCTAGCAGATACTTCACAGAAACAGTGGTTTCCCAGGACCAGCTGATCCCTGTGAACAATAAAGCAAAAGTATGCACACTAGTTGTTTTTCTATTGTAAAGGGCATTAGTGCTGGCTAGAAATCCTAGAGCATGTAGAATTCTTTTCCTGCAGTGCCAGTAGGTACAGAGCAGATACAGTTGGCATAAGGATGGAAAGGTAAGAAGTGGCAGAATCTCTGGGACCTTTTCTGTAGATTGAAAATGGTGTTTTAAGCCAACTATGGATTCTACATTCGCCAACCTTTCAATTAGCTTTCCTCAACTGATTTTGACTTTGACAATGCAGCAATGTACAGTGACTGAAGTTTAAACCATTTTCAGGACCTCTGTTTGATGACGGTAGATCCAGATATGAATTATTGCTCCGTCAAATAAAAACTGTTGTTCAGAACATGTGAGAGCACTACACAATGAATGAATTATTTTATATTATTGATGCTGGCCTACATTCTCTACATCCTGTATTTCTATTGCTTTGCTTGTATTATGCTTAGGTATAAAAGCAGACCAAATAAAAACACTAACTGGATTGATTTATTATGTGCCATCAAGTCACCTTTTACTCTTAAAGACCATACAGACAAATTTTCTCCATTATGGTCTGTCCCTAGTCGGATCTTTCAGGTCTTTCAACAATCTGCTCTTCACCACTGTCCAGTTGCTGTTGATTGTTCTTTCTTTTTTTTTCTCCCACCTTTCCTGACATTAGAGCTTCTCTAGGGAAATTGATCTTTGCACAATGTGTCCAAAGTAGGGTAATTTGAGGCAGGTCATTTGAAAAATCTTAAACGCAGTGCTAAAATAAAAATAATATAGGGTTCCCCCACAAAAAAATCACTGATGTTCACTGAAAACTATGCTATATAATCTCTTTCTAATAACCTTTCTAACAAGCACTAAATGTCTTCTCAAAATATACAGATTTTCCATGCTCTAGAACAGGGGTGTCAAATTCACGGCCCACAGGCAGGATGCGTCATGTGCTGGCTCCACCCCCGCCCGGTTTAGCGAAGGGGAACAAAGTCCCAATACATCATGTGATGCCACCGTGATGACACGGGTTTGACACCCCTGCTCTAGAAACAAAATGGATATATATCACATGAAAACTAGTAAAGGACTCTCAGACTTAGAATGAACTTTTTACCTGGGGGAATCTACTATACATAACATAACAAAGAATGCTATTTAATATACAGATAGATAGTCTTCAGTTACCAACCCTGGTAACTGGATTGGGACTGGCAATCCTGTTGCTAAGTGACAAAGTTTTTAAGCAAATCTTTATGTGGTCAGGCTTGACTTATGATGTCAGTTCCAGCTTTGTCATTAAGCATATGATTGCAGTTGTTAAGCATGATGTCATGTGAACAAGGCTTGCAACTTCTTGTCAGCTTCCCCATTTTGTCGGTTTGTATATGGAAATCCCACAAGTCTTGACCATCTGATTTTCGGTGACTTTTTCAGGCTGATGTTCCCACCAGTTTGTTGCTGTTTTAATATTATAATTTTTGCACAAATTCCAATGGATCATTTGTGCTACTGAATTGTGCCGCAATTTATAATCAGTCTGCGTGATTTTTTTACAG